TAACCTACCTGTACAGCTATCCCACTCCAACAACCATCTTACCTGTACAACTAACCCACCTGCAGCCATCCTACCTGTACAACCATCCTACCTGTACAACTATCCTACCCAACTAACCTACCTGCACAACTAACCCACCTGTACAGCTATCCTACCTGTACACGTCTAACCTGTACACTATCCTACCTGTACAGCCATCCTACCTGTACACCATCCTACCTGTACAACTATCCTACCTGTACAACCATCCTACCTGTACAACCATCTTACCTGTACCTCTATCCTACCTGTACAACCAACCACCTGCAGCAATCCTACCTGTACAACTAACCTACCTGTACACTATCCTACCTTCTACAACCATCCCACCTGTACAACTATCTCTACCTGTACAACCATCCTACCCAACTATCCTACCTTCTAACCATCCTACCTGTACAACCATCTTACCCAACAACCATCCTACCTGTACAACTATCCTACCTGTACAACTACCTACCTGTACAGCCATCCTACCTGTACAACTAACCTACCTGCACCATCCTACCTGTACAACCATCCTACCTGTACAACCATCTTACCTGTACCTCATCCCACCTGTACAACCAACCCACCTGTACAATCCCACCCGTACAACCAACCCACCCACAACTATCCCACCCTTCCACAACCATCCCACCCGCCAACCATCCTACCTGTACAACCATCCCACCTGTACAACCATCCCACCTTCTACAACCTCCTACCTGTAACCATCTTACCTGCACAACCATCCCACCCTGTACAACTATCCTACCTGCACACCATCCTACCTGTACAGCCTCCTACCCAATAACTAATCCACCTGTACCATCCCACCGTACAACCATCCTACCTGCACAACCATCCCACCTGGCCAACTATCCTACCTGTACAACTATCCTACCTGTACAACCAACCTACCTGTACAACCATCCTACCTGTCCATCCTGTACAACTATCCCACCCACAACCATCCTACCCGTACAACTATCCTACCTGTACAACTATCCTACCTGTACAACTATCCTACCTGTACAACTCCATCCCACCCGTACAACCATCCCACCTGTACAACTATCCCACCCACAACCATCCCACCTGTACAACCAACTATCCCACCTGTCCAACCATCCTACCTGTACAACCATCCTACCTGCACAACCATCCTACCTGTACAACCATCCTACCTGCACAACCATCCCACCTGCACAACCATCCCACCTGCACAACTATCCTACCTGCCACCATCCTACCTGTACAACTATCCTACCCGTACAACCATCCCACAATTAATCCTACCTGTACAACTATCCTACCTGCACACCATCCCACCTGCACAACCATCCCACCTGTCACAACTATCCTACCCAGTACAACCCATCCCACCTGTACAACCATCCCACCTGTACAACCATCCCACCTGTACAACTATCCCACCCAGCCACTACCCACTCCACCACCCAGCACAACCATCCTACCTGTACAACTATCCCACCTGTACCCCATCCCCGCCCCACAACCATCCTACCCTGTACAACCATCCTACCTGTACAACCATCCTACCTGTACACACTATCCCTCACCTGCACAACCATCCCACCGTACAACCATCCCACCTGTACAACTATCCCACCCGTACAACCATCCTACCTGTACAACCATCCTACCCGTACAACCATCCTACCCTGTACAACCATCCTACCTGTACAACTATCCTACCTGCAATAACATCCCACCTGTACAACCATCCTACCTGTACAACTATCCCACCTGCAACATCCTACCTGCACAATCCTACCTGCACACCTTCCACCCGTACAACTATCCCACCTGTACAACCACATCCCACCGTACACCATCCCACCCACAACCATCCTACCTGTACAACTATCCCACCTGTACTACCATCCCACCTGTACAACCATCCTACCTGTACAACTATCCCACCTGTACAACCATCCCACCTGTACAACCATCCTACCTGCCAACCATCCTACCTGTACAACCATCCCTACCTGTACAACCATCCTACCTGCACAACCATCCTACCCAGCCATCCTACCTGTACAACTATCCACCCACTATCCACCTGTACAACCATCCTACCTGTACAACCATCCTACCTGTACAACCATCCTACCTGTACAACCATCCCACCTGCACAACCATCCCACCCGTACAACCATCCCACCTGCACAGCCATCCCACCTGTACAACCATCCCACCTGGCAACAACCATCCCACCTGTACAACCATCCCACCTGCACAACCATCCTACCTGCCAACCATCCCTACCCACAACCATCCTACCTGTACAACTATCCTCCCACCCACAGCTATCCCACCTGCACAACTATCCTACCTGTCACAACTATCCTACCTGTACAACCATCCTACCTGTACAACCATCCTACCTGTACAACTATCCTACCTGCACAACCATCCTACCCAACCATCCTACCTGTACAACTATCCTACCTGTACAACTCATCCTACCTGTACAGCTATCCTACCTGTACAACCATCCTACCTGCACACAACTATCCCACCTGCACAACCATCCCACCTGTACACCATCCTCACCCAACAACCATCCCACCTGCACACACATCCTACCCGTACAACCATCCCACCTGTACAACCATCTACCTGTACAACCATCCTACCTGTACAACCATCCCACCTGCACAACCATCCTACCCACACCATCCTACCTGCACAACCATCCTACCTGTAACTATCCTACCTGTACAACTATCCCACCTGTAACTATCCTACCTGTACAACCATCCTACCTGTACAACCATCCTACCTGTACAGCCATCCTACCTGTACAACTATCCTACCTGTACAACCATCCTACCTGTACAACCATCCTACCTGTACAACTATCCTACCTGTACAACTATCCTACTGTACAACTATCCTACCTGTACAACTATCCCTACCTGTACAACTATCCTACCCTGTACAACTATCCTACCTGTACAACTATCCTACCTGTACAACTATCCCACCTGTACAACTATCCTACCTGTACAACTATCCTGCCTTACAACTATACCTGTACAACTATCCTACCCCCACAACTATCCTACCTGTACAACTATCCCTACCTGTACAACTATCCTACCTCACACAGCCATCCTGCCCACACAACTATCCTACCTGTACAACTATCCTACCTGTACAACTACCCTGCCTGTACAACTATCCTACCTGTACAACTATCCTACCTGTACTATCCTACCTGTACAACTCTCCTACCTGTACAACTATCCTACCTGTACAGCTATCCCTACCGCACAACTATCCTACCTGTACAACTATCCCTACCTGTACAACTATCCTACCTGTACAGCTATCCCTACCTGTACAACTATCCTACCTGCCAACCATCACTACCTGTACAACTATCCTACCCTGTACAACTCATCCTACCTGTACAACCATCCTACCTGTACAACTATCCTACCTGTACAACTATCCTACCTGTACAGCTATCCTACCTGTACAACTATCCTACCTGCACAACCTCCCACTACCTGTACAACTATCCTACCTAACTCCATCCCACCTGTACAACTATCCTACACCAACCCACTGCTACCTGTACAACTATCCTACCTGTACAGCTATCCTACCTGTACAACTATCTACCTGTACAACTATCCTACCTGTACAACTATCCTACCTGTACAGCTATCTACCTGACAACTATCCTATACACAACTATCCTACCTGTACAACTATCTACCTTCAACTATCCTACCTGTACAACTATCCCACCTGTACAGCTATCACCTGTACAACTATCCTACCTGTACAACTATCTACCTGTACAACTATCCCTGCTACACAGCTATCCTACCTGTATCCTACCTGTACAACTATGCTACCTGTACAACTATCCTACCTGTACAGCTATCCTACCCAACTATCCTACCTGTACAGCTATCCTACCTGTACAACTATCCTACCTGTACAACTATCCTACCTGTACAGCTATCCTACCTGTACAACTATCCTACCTGTACAACTATGCTACCTGTACAACTATCCTACCTGTACAACTATCCTACCTGTACAACTATCCTACCTGTACAGCTATCCTACCTGTACAACTATCCTACCTGTACAACTATCCTACCTGTACAATTATCCTACCTGTACAACCTTCCTCCCCTCAGTCCTGTCTCCTCTTCTCCTGTACAGTCTTTCCTCAGCTACAGGGTGAACTTATGCTCAGCTAAAGCATTAGGGACTTACAAGTTATATTCAGCTAAAGGATGAAGGTCTCACACGCTAAAAGATGAAGGAATTACGAACTATCTTCAGCTAAATTAGGAAAATGGCTTGTATTCTCTCCTACAGCTGAAGAATGAAGGACTTACAAGCTAAAAACTAATTCATTCTATTCTCAGCTTAAACATTCTCTCCCCAGCTTAAACATTCACTCTTCAGCTTAAACATTCTCCCCTCAGCTGAAGATTGATGCACAACTAATAGCTAAAGGCTATTCACTCTATTCTCAGCTTAAATATTCTCTCCTCAGCCCAAACATTCTCTCCTCAGCTTAAACATTATCTCCTCAGCTTAAACATTCTCTCCTAAGCTAAGACATTCTCTCCTCAACTAAAGGATAAAGGACTTACAAGCTAAAAATTAAAGGCTATACATTCTATTCTCAGCTTAAACATTCTCTCCCCAGCTTAAATATTCTCTCCTCAGCTTAAATAATCTCTCCCCAGCTTAAATATTCTCTCCTCAGCTTAAACACAAAGACTCACAAGCTAAAAACAAAAAGTTATTCATTCTACACCCAGCTTAAACGTTCTCTCCTCAGCTTAAACATTATCTCCTCAGCTTAAACATTCACTCCTCAGCTTAAACATTATCTCCTCAGCTTAAACATTCTCTCAGCTTAAACATTATCTCCTCAGCTTAAACATTCTCTCAGCTTAAACATAAATGCTCACACTTAATCCACAGTAAGACGGGGTTGCTGGTGACGGTGCCCAAAGGGTTAGTGGCCTCACACCGGTACCTGCCCGCCCTCGACCTGTTCACCACCTGTAGCACCAAGGTGTTCCCCACCAGGATGATACCTGCTGTTATGTTCTGTGCCTGCAGCCCTCTCTGTCAAAGGTACGTGGATCATTATCGTGAATTATAGTGGATTATTAACATCTGGTGGACCATTATAGTGGATTATTAACATCTGGTGGATCATTATAGTGGATTATTAACATCTGGTGGATCATTATAGTGGATTATTAACATCTGGTGGATCATTATAGTGGATTATTAACATCTGGTGGATCATTATAGTGGATTATTAACATCTGGTGGATCATTATAGTGGATTATTAACATCTGGTGGATCATTATAGTGGATTATTAACATCTGGTGGATCATTATAGTGGATTATTAACATCTGGTGGATCATTATAGTGGATTATTAACATCTGGTGGATCATTATAGTGATTATTAACATCTGGTGGATCATTATAGTGGATTATTAACATCTGGTGGATCATTATAGTAATTCATAGTGTAGTGATTATTAACATCTGGTGGATCATTATAGTGATTATTAACATCTGAGTGGATCATTATAGTGGATTATTAACATCTGGTGGATCATTATAGTGGATTATTAACATCTGGTGGATAATTATAGTGGATTATTAACATCATCTAGTGGATTATTAACATCTGGTGGATCATTATTAACATCTGGTGGATCAACATCTGGTGGATCATTATAGTGGATTATTAACATCTGGTGGATCATTATAGTGGATTATTAACATCTGGTGGATCATTATAGTGGATTATTAACATCTGGTGGATCATTATAGTGGATTATTAACATCTGGTAGATCATTATAGTGGATTATTAACATCTGGTGGATCATTATAGTGGATTATTAACATCTGGTGGATCATTATAGTGGATTATTAACATCTGATGGATAATTATAGTGGATTATTAACAACTAGTGGATAATTATAGTGGATTATTAACATCTGGTGGACCATCATCGATAGGAGATAAAAAATATATTATTAACCTAAACTGTATGTTGACAAGTATGAGGTGAATAAACCACAGCTTAATGCTTGAATATAACACAGCTTACTTCCTGAATATAACACAGCTTACTTCTTGAATATAACACAGCTTGGTTAGGTTAGGTGAGGTAAGGTTTGGTTAGGTTACGTTAGTACATGACCAATAATTACAGAGCATTAAAGCTTCCTGGTTAAAGCTAAGTATGGTGTTATACTTATAGCTGACTTATATGTGGTTATAAGAAATATAGGCGGCTGATTATGTGTACTTATATGTGTTGTGTAGTAACAGCAGGTAGTGACAGCAGGTAGTGACAGCAGGTAGTGACAGCAGGAGTTGACAGCAGGTGGTGACAGCAGGTGGTGACAGCAGGTGGTGACAGCAGGTAATGATTAAACAGCATCCAGTACAACATTCTCTAGCCTGAATTTAATTATGTAAGAGAGGAGGAAGGTGAGAGAGAGAGAGACTACCTGCTGTAATTTTGCCAATCTTGCCAAATATACCTGAGAGATGAGGCTTGTGCTGTCGAATCTAGTGAGTGTGTGTGTGTGTGTGTGTGTGTGTGTGTGTGTGTGTGTGTGTGTGTGTGTGTGTGTGTGTGTGTGTGTGTGTGTGTGTGTGTGTGTGTGTACAGGTGTCAGCAGCAGGACGGAGAGTTAATAATTCACCTGTTGAACGTGCATCACCTGGTATCTATCTCTACATAGGTGAAGGAGGAGGCTCATGGCTGTCACTTATTTCTGTCAGGTGGAGGAGACTGGCTGTCACTTCGCCCTGAGGCTGTCATCAGTGACCGGGAGGTGCTACTTCAGGCAGGTGGCAACAATGAAGTAATCACATCACCTGGATCTTCGGCTGCATGATGAACGCCAGCGACAGTGTGTTGCTGAGCCACCAGGACAACCTTGGTATTGCTAGAGTTAAGCTGATGCACAATACAGGGCTTAGAGCAGTGTGTCAGGCATTGTTCCACGTACAACAAGAACCGCTAAGGTAAGTCTGCGGGCAGTAGTTGTGTTTAGTGGTTGGCTGATAAAATTGAAAGTATATGGAAAATATGCATACTGCTGGCTTTGATGGCTCTCCTTGTTCTAACTGACACACTGTTTGTTGAGTCAATCTGAACTTGTATGACGATTTTACTAAATACATCTCTATCTAAGGTCGAGGTCAAAGAGTCTCAGCTCTAAGTTATGGTAGTTACAGTCCCTCAGAGTTAGGGACCACAAGACACGGCTTCGTCACAGCAGTAACAGGCTGAGCCACTGTAACCTGCCCTCACGACGAGACTATCTTATTGGCGGCTGACTGTGTCGTTATATGTCCCAAGTTCAGGGAGGCAACCTATCACACCAGCTCACCTCACCACGTCTGGGCTCTCAGAGGTGATGTTAAAAAGTAAGAAGTAGCTCACTTCCTTAAGATGCTTGACTGAGAAGGTCAGCCCATGACTGCTAAGAGGATGTGGTGACTAATTAGCCTCGACTCCCTCCTTACTTCACCAAGACTCCCTCACACACAACAACTGGAGACGCTGTCGTTCATGTTGATAAATTCTACAATTTTCGTGATATAAAACATATATCAGTATAACACAACGCATTCTGACGACCGCTGAACACTAGACAGTTGCTCTCCGAAAAGATCGCTCTGTATAGCCGACCTGCTGAACCTCTCTCCTGTGTGGCCCAGCACTTACTGGCTCTAGGTCAGCTGTGTTGTTGTAGGTGCCACTTCTCCCTGTCTGTGTGTGACGTCAAGTTCTCCTCACAAAAATTCTCAGAGAATACTTTCACCTTAAAGATAGTACTGACCTAACCTAAACTAAAATAACCTAACCTAAACTAACCTAACCTAACCTTAACAAGACACATTAACGATAATAACACAGATTCTTTTTTTTTAATTATAAGTTATTTTTAGTACCAGGTGATGGTGGTGGCACTTACCTCATGGTACCAGGTGATGGTGGTGGCAGGAGGGTTGGCATCCACATCACAGTTGAAGTACACATCATCACCTTCCTTCAACAGAGACGGCACCAGCGACCGACCTAGTGCTGCCCTCACCGTCGGAGAGTCTGTGAGGGGGGGGGGGGGTTGGTGAAGTTTCTGACATTGTGTTCCTCTGCCATGACGAGTGACTCTTCAGCAGCACAAGACACAGTTTACAGGACAAGTAACAGGAGAAGGCGAGAAGCGATATAAAGTATAGAGTAAATACCTGTAATGGAACTTCTTGGATCACCTGAAGATTAGACACTCCAGCTTATTTCACATTTAATTTAACCACCCTAACGCTAATCTAACCCAACATAACCTAACCCCGCCAGGTACCATATGGGTGATTAATCTCCAGGTGGAATAAGTTGGAGTGTGTATTCTTCAGGTGATGTAACTATTTTTTTCTAAGACGAAAGTGAGAAGAGGAACCAAGTGTCAGGTCTTCAGGGTAGCCGTCGTTCAGGTAGTAGATGACGGTAATAAGGACGAGGCGAGGGTGTAGTGTGGAGGCCTCGCTGCCCTACAACACTGTCTCACTGACTGATGCTACAATCTGCAGAAGGCGAGCCACAGGTTCTGCCTCTCTATATGTGACCTGATCTAAGAAACGAGACCCATATGTTGAGTTTGGAACATGTGTGGCACCCAACACACTACAATGGTAAATAAAAATGATAAACACGACACACACACACACACACACACACAAAGATAGATCATACTACTGACACAGACACACACATTAACATTCTCAAACATATAAACCCCATAACTTGTAATTATTGATGACAAGTGCCTGTATCAACCCAAAATACGTGTTTAATGATGATAGTTTGTTTACTTCTGATTTACTACGTGTTTCTGCGCTGAATAACATCGTCTGGCGTTAATTATAAGTGAGGTTCCCATAGTAAAGGTGTTATAAGTGAGGTCCCAAAGTAAAGGTGTTATAGGTGGGGTCCCATAGTGAAGCGGTCTTAAAGTGTTAGTAGTTATCAAAGTAAACTAACACCTCACAACACCACCACCACCCCTAACCCTAACCCCCCCACTTCCCACCCCTCCCCCACTCCAGCCCCCCACGCCACCCCCCACTTCCCACTCCCAACCCTCACCCCTTCCCTCAACACACCCCCCCAGCCCACCCCTTTCCCCCATCCCCCAGACAGCAGGCACGCGTTATATAGCTGGAGCTTCACCTCAAAATTAGACAAGTTTGATAATAGGAGGCAGAGGCAGCAGCACCAGCGCGTGTCATTACCTCACTAAAGTCTCGTCCAACTTTTAAATGAATCTCTGAATGTTGCCTTCTAATTTACCTCAGTTTAAGGGTAAAACTTGCACTATCACTTGGAGGCCGATTGTCTGCTGCCGACCTCACTATACTGTTGAGCATCTACCCATCTATCTATCCGTCTATCTATCCGTCTATCCATCCATCCATCCATCCATCCATCCATCTACTACTACTACCAATACTACTACTACTACTACTTTTTTTTCTAACTTGGCCTCCAGCCTCCCCCAATAGCCACACCTTCGCCGCCATTTTATTACCTACTACTACTACTACTACTGTGCTGTCACTCGGAATTCGAGTATGATGATCACCCAGTTATGATAAAATGATACGAGTTATTAGGGATGTCACCTTAGTTGGCGAGTTCTGAGGTGACTAGACAGGCCGATACGGGAGAGGCAGAGTCGTTCACAGATGTTGCACGTGTGGAGGGCTACATCTAGTCCGGGAAGGGCGACGGCAACGTCTTTCCTGTGTTGGCGCTTGTTTGCCTCGGTTTGCAGTCGGGTTAACTCGAATTATTGACACCTTCTCGTGTGGTGCTCCTCCAAGCGTTACGGTGCGGAGTAATCGTCTCCTGGGTGACGGGGACGATTTGGCCAGCGTTACGTGTACTATTCGTCAGGTGACTGTAAAGTAGCTGCTTTAGCAGTCTACTGTCGTTAATGCGGGACACATGGCCAGTCCAATGTAGTTGTACATGGATAATGGTAGCCTCTATGCTCCTACAGTTGGTGTCAGCAAGAATACTGGCATATGTTCTATTGTCTTCCCAGCGAACTCGGAGGATGGAACGTAGACTATGTTGGTGAAAGTTTTCAAGTGCCTTGAGGTACCTCCTGCATGTGACCCATGTATCACTGCCATATAGCAGGGTGGGAAGGACCACTGCTCGATATACGTGCAACTTTATAGATAATTTCAGCTCCCTACAACTGAAGACACGGGTACGGAGTCTTCCAAAGGCTCGAGATGCAAGTCTGATCCGATGTTGAATCTCTTCATCAATGTCCGCGGTAGTGGACAGGTGGGAGCCGAGATACTGAAAGTGGGTAACAATAGAGAGGGTAGCTCCGTTAATCTGGATAAATGATGGAGGTGTGGCTGAGCCAGGGGCAGGTTGAAAGAGAATCTGAGTCTTACGCACATTAACCTCAAGGCCGAAGTGTGTATAAGCATCTGCGTAGGTGTTAAGGATCTCTTGAAGGTCGCGTTCAGTGTGAGTGACAAGGGTGAGGTCGTCTGCATACTGAAGTTCAGTAATGGAAGCTGCAGACACCTTTGTTCTTGCCTGGAGTCATCTTACGTTGAAAAGACCCTTCATCCAGTACTCGATGTCCACCCAGCTGGCTAAATTGGCACTGGCACGAGTAAGGAAGACAGCCAAAAGATTGGAAAAAAGAGTTGGTGCCAGTGCACTTCCTTGTTTTACCCCCATTTGGATGGAGAAGAACTCAGACTGGGTGCCATTGTGTAGAACACTGCCGTTCATGCCATCATGAAGTTGCCTCACAATGGCAATGAATTTTGGTGGGCAGCCAAATCGGCTGAGGGCTTCCCTGTTGACCGAGTTGAAGGCCTTGGTTAGGTCAATGAAGGCCATGTAAGGATCACGACGCTGTTCTCTGTACTTTTCTTGTATCTGAAGGGCAGCAAAGATCATGTCAGTGGTGCCATGTGATTGTCTAAGCCCACATCGAGATTCTGGGAGGAAGTTTTCCGCTTCAGGAAGAAGTCTGTTTAGGAGGACTCGGGCGATAATTTTGCCAGCTATGGACAGCAGCGAAATCCCATGATAGTTGCCATAGTCAGACCAGTCTCTCTTGTTCTTATAAATATTGACAATGGAACCCTCTTTAAGAGCTTGGGGATTTCCTCCTTTTCCCATACATTCTCCAGGAGAGAGTGGAGACGGCTGGTAAGCAGAGTCCCTCCTGCTTTATACACTTCGGCTGGGATTCCATCAGGCCCGGAGGAGAATTATTTTTCATCTGTTTGATGGCAGTAGCTATCTTATCCAAGGATGGAGGATAGCTGAGGTGGGTCAGCTCTGGATGCTAATGGATTTTCTGGGTAGTCAGGACATCCACATCAGTGTTTCGATTGAGCAGGGAATGGTAGTGCACTTCCCAGCGCTGCAGGATGCCTTTTTCGTCTTTAATTCAGGAGTTACCGTCGGATGACCGGAGGGGTATGCGCCATGAGTGATTGGCCCATAAAATGTTTTAGTGGAATTGAAAAATTCGCGCATTTTGTGTTTTTGCATTTCACATGCTTTATTTTCAAGCCAGTCGTTCTTTATATTGCGAACTTCCCGCTGGGCTGCCGCTTTCTTCTTGTGGAAGGTATCAGCTTTGGATCGAGACTGAGTGTTGTTCTGCCAGTCAATTAAAACAGCACATTTATCATTGGCGAGTACATTAATTTCCGGGTAATTTTCATCAAACCAATCCTGGTGTATTCTTTCGATCTGGCAGATGGTCTCTCTGCAGGTTTTTGTCATGGCAGTGTCGAGAATACCCCAATCGGCACAGGGAATTGGGTTGTTTTTTGTCGGGTTGTTTATCAGCCCATGTTCGAGTTGCTCTCTGAAGGTAGGTGCTACCGCTGGATCCTCCAAACACTTAATGTTAAAACCTGTTCTGGAGACTTGTTGCCTTCGCTGTTTCGGGGCGAAGTGAAGTGAGAGCTTGGCCCTGAAGAGCTGATGGTCAGTGTCGCAGTGGTCTGAGCCACGCATGGCTCAGGTGATGAGGACTTCTCGGCGATTTCTTTCTCTGATAATGATGTAGTCAATGAGATGCCAGTGTTTGGATAGTGGGTGTTGCCACGAACCCTTGAACTTGTCTGCTTGCCTAAACAAGGTATTGGTAATAGCGAGGTTGTGTGCAGCACATTTGCTGAGGAGGAGTAGGCTACTTGCTTAGTCCCTAGAATTCCCTGCTGCCAAACGTCAGCATCTCTACCAACTCTGGCACTGAAGTCACCTAGAGCACAACCTTATCTCCTCTGGGGATAGAGGTTAGCACTCTGTCAAGGTCAGCATAAAAGGCCTCCATGATGCCATCCTCTGCATCCAGTGTTGGGGCGTAGGCACTGATGAAAAGGGCATGATTTGAGTGATTGTTTGGGTCTCGGAACGTCATGAGGCGCTCGTTGATCCCAACAGGCTTTTCAGTTAACTTATGTAGGATGCATTGGCGGATGGCAAAACCACCTCCATAAACGCGGTTTCTCTCTGCGCAGGGTTACCCTTCCATAAGACGGTAAAACCAGGCCCCCAGTCTGTGAGTCGACCCTCGTCTGGGAGCCAGGACTCACTAATGGCTGCTATAGCAGTTCTTCTTTCAGGACGCTCATTTGTTCCAGTATCTAGAAGGGTCCTGATATTCCATGCAGCGACCATAAGAGGTTGTATAGTTTGTTATTGTTTTGATATGTGATTATGATTGTATTTTCGACTGCATAAGAATGACGTTATTAGGTGTTGTTGCCCAGTCAGGCTGGTTCTCTAGGCAGAGTGGGTCCTCGAGAGGACTGCTCAGTCGCATAGACAGGACCGGATTGCACTGCTGCCTAGATCCCAGTGCATAAACGACCATCTTATCTATGCCGCCCATGTACAGAGTTGTGACTAGAGACTCCGGCCAGTCATCTCTGCCTGTCCCCGTCGCCACTCGTCCGTCGCCATAGGAATGTTGGAGGTAAAGGGTTTTGATGATGATGAGAAGTTTGATGAACTGGATGATGGCTGTGGTGAGGTAGGCGTGCAGGTTGGAACCACACACTTTGGATGTCCATTTTCCTGATACAGTGGTGCAAGTGTTGCAACGACTGGGGAGAGGGAGAGTTGCAATGGACTGCCATAGCCCAATTTCTCGGGTTACGCCTTAGTAGCCTGTCCATCATGGATTGCCTTCATCCGCCGGCGTAGTCGTTGGGATTCCATGGTGATCACCTTTTCTGCCTATACCGCCGTTGGGATCTTGTTGTAGCTCTGTAAGCATGCCTGCCTGGTGCGGGGTTCCACAACTTATTTTTCATTTGGGGTGTATTCCCGTAACTTTATACCTCCCAAGGTTAATCCACAAGGCAGCAGGGCAGTGGCTGGCAGAGGCCAGGACGTGTCCACATGCCAGTGGGCGTATGCGTCTTCCCTCTGGGGCCCACTGCTGCTCCGAGATCCCCTGCTGGTCTAACCTGGGCCCACGAGGCACCCAGTTACCGTGGGTTGCCACGAGGAGGCACAGCAGGAGTCTTGCTGTTGAAGAGGCTGTGTACTGGCAGGCGAAGACTTGTGCAAGTTGCTTCCCTGTTCACCACCTGGGCTAACCAGCGGCGGCAGCTGGAAGCGAGGGAGAGCAAGCAGTACTTGTACCTTAACTCTAACATAATGCTGCCACACTAGACGCATTACACCACCTTGTGCACACACACACACACACACACACACACACACACACACACACACACACACACACACACACACACACACACACACACAAACACACATTATTAACAGTTGTCTCTCCACTTCGACAATTAAAACTGTGAAATAGTTGTGATAATATAGATCTTACTACAGTTATGTTCAATATTCCAAGCTCAATATACAGTAAAGTATTAAAACTCCTCAAATTCAGAGTTTACCTCAATAGTTGATTGGTAAAAAAATATAAATAATTGTACGAGATGGACAAGAACCATATCGTGGATAACTAGGGACAAGAAGCCCAGGTTTCTCTCGTCCGGGTCACTACTATTCCCCGCAAGACCTCCTCAACACCCACCTCCTCTTCCATCCCCAACACATCCTGCAGCTCCCACAACTCCTCCAGCTCCACCACCTCCTCCAGTGGAGGACGAGATCTGCCTCAGCTTACCTGGGACCATCTTAGTCTCATGGGTAAGGTTGGGACCGGTAGGTACGGGGTGAGCCACCATGGTCAGCTCACCCTAGACAACGGGGACGTGACTGAAGTGGTAGTGAAGATCCTCCATTCCGGCAAGGACAACACCAAGGAGGCCCGCGTCCTACACGAGCTGGCCGGGACGGGGGGCGCGCCTATCTTGTACGGCGTCACAACCGATCCCCACGCCATCGTCATGCAGTACTGCCGGGGTGTGACACTCTCAACAATCTTACACCACTTCAGGTACCAAGTCCACCATCGTCAGGAGGCCTACGACGCAACCTGCGTTGCCCTTGCCGAGTTTCACGGTGCTGGTTACAGCCACCTGGACCTCCACGCCGGCAACGTCATCATCGACACCTCCACGTCACCTTACACCTGTCATCTCATCGACGTCGGGATGAGTGAACGCATCCCGCCCGACGATGACTGGTACGAGCAGACCGATTGGGTCGCCATTCAAGACATCCAGACCCGCCTCCACCTTCACTCACCAGACGATCTCGGTCTATTTTGATTATTCTGATCACCAGACAACCACACACCTGCTGTACTAACACCCAGACAACCACACACCTGCTGTACTAACACCCAGACAACCACACACCTGCTGTACTAACACCCAGACAACCACACACCTGTACTAACACCCAGATAACCACACACCTGCTGTACTAACACCCAGATAACCACACACCTGCTGTACTAACACCCACATAACCACACACCTGCTGTACTAACACCCAGATAACCACACACCTGTTGTACTAACGCCCACATAACCACACATGCTAACACCACACCTGCTAACCACACACACTAACGCAGACTAACACCCAGATAACCACACCTGCTGTACTAACACCCAGATAACCACACACCTGCTGTACTAACACCCAGATAACCACACACCTGCTGTACTAACACCCAGATAACCCACACACCTGCTGTACTAACACCCCAGATAACCACACACCTGCTGTACTAACACCCAGATAACCACACACACCTGCTGTACTAACACCCAGATAACCACACACCTGCTGTACTAACACCCAGATAACCACACACCTGCTGTACTAACACCCAGATAACCCACACCTGCTGTACCCCTAACACCCAGATAACCCACACACATAACATTACTAACACCCAGATAACCACACACCTGCTGTACTAACACCCAGATAACCACACACCTGCTGTACTAACTGCAGATAACCACACACCTGCTGTACTAACACCCAGATAACCACACCTGCTGTACTAACACCCAGATAACCACACACCTGCTGTACTAACACCCAGATAACCACACACCTGCTGTACTAACACCCAGATAACCACACACCTGCTGCCTGTACTAACACCCAGATAACCACACACCTGCTGTACACCCAGATAACCACACACCTGCTGTACTAACACCCAGATAACCACACACCTGCTGTACTAACACTGATAACCACACACCTGCAACTAACACCCAGATAACCACACACCTGCTGTACTAACACCCAGATAACCACACACCTGCTGTACTAACACCCACATAACCACACACCTGCTGTACTAACACCCACATAACCACACACCTGCTCTACTAACACCCACATAACCACACACCTGCTGTACTAACACCCACATAACCACACACCTGCTGTACTAACACTCTGCTGTAATAATAAACATTTACCCTTCTACGAAAACAAACAAACACACACACACACACACACTATCTATCTATCTATCTAATCTATCTATCTATCTATCTGTCTATCTATCTATCTATCTGTCTATCTATCTATCTATCTATTCAAACGCTGCATCTCTCTGGGGACCACAACTGTTAATTTCATTCTCCCATGCCAGCCCCTGCCTCCCCTGGCCCACCTAACCTTAATTATGGACTAAGACACACCTTGAGGAAAAGTGGTAGAGTAATTAGGAAAACATTTAACGCCAGGTATATACTCCTTTACGCCGCTGCCCCAGTCTTAGGTTGTGGGTTTCAAGAATTCAATTGGATCACCTGAAGATTAGTCACCCCAGCCTATTTTACCAGACGATTAAACACCGTAACACAGCACTGAGATCTCTAACACAGCACTGAGCTTACAAACACAGTACTGACCTCTATAACACAGCACTGAGATCTCTAACACAGCACTGAACTTACAAACACCATTTTGACCTCTACTCTTACAGCACTGAGATCTCTAACACAGCACTGAGCTTACAAACACAGTACTGACCTCTATAACACAGCACTGAGATCTCTAACACAGCACTGAACTTACAAACACAGTACTGACCTCTATAACACAGCACTGAGATCTCTAACACAGCACTGAGCTTACAAACACAGTACTGACCTCTATAACACCAGCACTGAGATCTCTAACACAGCACTGAACTTACAAACACAGTACTGACCTCTATAACACAGCACTGAGATCTCTAACACAGCACTGAACTTACAAACACAGTACTGACCTCTATAACACAGCACTGAGATCTCTAACACATTACGGAGCTCACTAACACAGCACTGAGCTCACTAACACAACACTGAGTACAATTCAGGTCACACTGTCTCCTTATGTAACGGTAAAAAAATGTTAAGTGTGCAGTGTGATATATCCAGCTTGCCCTTAACTGATTGCCAGGCCTATGTGACCCAGTTTCCTATGATAGTGAAGCTCTGTTGTCTGACTCACCACCGCCAGTGTTACCAAGTCATATGTTTATATTAACGTGGCACTAAACACTACAACAATGTGAGTTAAGAGAAAATAATAACAGTAAATAAAGTTACATTCCTCAGACCCATCCCTCCCCTTCTCCCTCTCCTCAGCTTCCCTCCCTCCCCTCAGCCTCCCTCCCTCCCCTCAGCCTCCTTCCCTCCCCTCACCTTCCCTCCCCTTACATTAGCCTTTCTCCCCTCACCTCCCCTTACTCCCCAAACATCACGTCAGATAAGCTGGTACCCTGCTGTCATAAACAAACACACAACAACAGGTATGCACTTGTGACCGACAGCTCTGATTGCCTCATTACAATAGTTCCCGTGATGAAAGCCAAATTGTTTAATCTACAATAAACGTAAAACGATTTCAATAATATATATCATCACATAATAACATAGTGTATAATATTGTAATCTTCACACAGGTTTAATATTCGTAATACCGTATTTTTTCCTAATAGTTTAATTTGTTTTCGTACTCTGAGCTGCCAGAAGCATAATAATTTACTCTCTATAAATGATAATTCCATAACATTACGATTACAATAATTACTAATAAAATTTTCTATAAACAGTCTCATAATATTATTTTTATTTCAAAGTTTGTGAAAAAAAAGATGATTTTTTTCACCTCAGGAGTATTATATTTTTCTCCGTTTCTGTTTGGTCAATGAAGCAACCAATCACACGTCTGTGTTTGATGATAGATATCTGTTGTCTACATGTAAGACAACAGGGAACCAGTCTACACACACACACACACACACACACACACACACACACACACACACACGAGGGAGGAACATAGACTGAGAGCCACAGTAATAAAGGGTTTAGTTGATTAGGAGGAGGAAGAAGATGAGAAGAGGATGAGTAAAGGAGGAAGATAAGGGAATGAGGGAAAGAGGAGGATGGGAAAGAGAAGATGACGTGAACGAGGAAAAGGGGAGAAGAGGAAAAGAAGACGAGGCAGAGAAGAGAGAAAGAAAGAAAGAAAGAACTAAATAAAGAGGATTCACTAAACACAAAACCACAAGAGGAAGAAGAACGCCCTAGACACTACACATTATGTTGACGATATACCACAGGTCCACGGCGATACCACTCACGATATTGGTTCAGTGGGAAGAGGACACTTAGAGAGGAAAAACTAGCGTAGGATGTTTTAAATAAGGGATCCTGGGCCGTCCTGAAGGAGTAAAAGTGGAGGAGAGTGTAGGATCTATGAAAGACGTAAGTGGAATTAAATGGTAGGACACTAGGAAACGTGGCATTAATGTTGATGAAAGACATTGGGTTAGGTTAGGTTAGATTAGAACATTATGATATAGGAATAAATAATTAAACCCTATTCCACAAAGTCATCAGGAGGAAGATAGGTTTGATATAGGGTTTAAAACCTGTAGTGGTTAATGGAATAAATCGTAGGTGGTTAAAAATGTAAGTAATGAGTGTTGTATGTTAGTAAGATTATGAATGTGGGTATGACATGTGTGGCGTCTTGTTAGTGGGAGTGTGCCCAGTACTACACATAACTGCCTTCAATCCCCCAATCAAAGTCAGGTACCCACTTCCCGCGATCCGAGTTCGATACCCAGCACTGAAGAAGTCATTATTGTATACATTTATTTACGTGTGTACATAAAAGTTTGTCATACACAGTTACATATCTTCACTATATTTTTCTAGTTTTTCCTCAAATTCAGAGTTTGTCTTAGTAAGTTGAGATGGTAAAACAGAAATATAATTGGACGAGATGGACTGTGTACACTTGAATCATCTCGGTTACCAAGTTCCTCTCGTCCGGGTCACTAGGCAGGAATTTCTTGGTCCGCCCTTCAAGACATCCAGACCCGCCTTCACCTTCACTCACCATACGACTTCGGTCTGCTTGGTTTATTCTGAGCACTAGACACACCTGCTGTACTAACACCCAGACAATCACACACCTGCTGTACTAACACCCAGACAATCACACACTTGCTGTACTAACACCCAGACAATTACACACCTGCTGTACTAATAAAACTTTTGAGAGAGAGAGAGAGAGAGAGAGAGAGAGAGAGAGAGAGAGAGAGAGAGAGAGAGAGAGAGAGAGAGAGAGAGAGAGAGAGAGCTAAAACAGTCATCACAACTTTGTAATTGCAGAAAATAAAACACAGACATACAGACAGACAGACAGACAGACACTGACCGCCCTCCTCTCACTATCTATCGACGTGAGTTTAAAC